TGTCCTCATAGTCATGTGTAGAACCTATTAATCCATGTTTGGGTAAGTATGGGTCCATCTAGTTCATCTTATACACTACAAGTGAGTTTCCACAATGTGGAGTCACAGAGGTACATTTCGGACTCCTTACCTCTTCCGGTTCCCAAATTAGGTCCATTTGATGTTCCTCCCTTGGATTGAGACCGTTTCACTCATGTTTGTCCTCATAGTCATGTGTAGAACCTATTAATCCATGTTTGGGTAAGTATGGGTCCATCTAGTTCATCTTATACACTACAAGTGAGTTTCCACAATGTGGAGTCACAGAGGTACATTTCGGACTCCTTACCTCTTCCGGTTCCCAAATTAGGTCCATTTGATGTTCCTCCCTTGGATTGAGACCGTTTCACTCATGTTTGTCCTCATAGTCATGTGTAGAACCTATTAATCCATGTTTGGGTAAGTATGGGTCCATCTAGTTCATCTTATACACTACAAGTGAGTTTCCACAATGTGGAGTCACAGAGGTACATTTCGGACTCCTTACCTCTTCCGGTTCCCAAATTAGGTCCATTTGATGTTCCTCCCTTGGATTGAGACCGTTTCACTCATGTTTGTCCTCATAGTCATGTGTAGAACCTATTAATCCATGTTTGGGTAAGTATGGGTCCATCTAGTTCATCTTATACACTACAAGTGAGTTTCCACAATGTGGAGTCACAGAGGTACATTTCGGACTCCTTACCTCTTCCGGTTCCCAAATTAGGTCCATTTGATGTTCCTCCCTTGGATTGAGACCGTTTCACTCATGTTTGTCCTCATAGTCATGTGTAGAACCTATTAATCCATGTTTGGGTAAGTATGGGTCCATCTAGTTCATCTTATACACTACAAGTGAGTTTCCACAATGTGGAGTCACAGAGGTACATTTCGGACTCCTTACCTCTTCCGGTTCCCAAATTAGGTCCATTTGATGTTCCTCCCTTGGATTGAGACCGTTTCACTCATGTTTGTCCTCATAGTCATGTGTAGAACCTATTAATCCATGTTTGGGTAAGTATGGGTCCATCTAGTTCATCTTATACACTACAAGTGAGTTTCCACAATGTGGAGTCACAGAGGTACATTTCGGACTCCTTACCTCTTCCGGTTCCCAAATTAGGTCCATTTGATGTTCCTCCCTTGGATTGAGACCGTTTCACTCATGTTTGTCCTCATAGTCATGTGTAGAACCTATTAATCCATGTTTGGGTAAGTATGGGTCCATCTAGTTCATCTTATACACTACAAGTGAGTTTCCACAATGTGGAGTCACAGAGGTACATTTCGGACTCCTTACCTCTTCCGGTTCCCAAATTAGGTCCATTTGATGTTCCTCCCTTGGATTGAGACCGTTTCACTCATGTTTGTCCTCATAGTCATGTGTAGAACCTATTAATCCATGTTTGGGTAAGTATGGGTCCATCTAGTTCATCTTATACACTACAAGTGAGTTTCCACAATGTGGAGTCACAGAGGTACATTTCGGACTCCTTACCTCTTCCGGTTCCCAAATTAGGTCCATTTGATGTTCCTCCCTTGGATTGAGACCGTTTCACTCATGTTTGTCCTCATAGTCATGTGTAGAACCTATTAATCCATGTTTGGGTAAGTATGGGTCCATCTAGTTCATCTTATACACTACAAGTGAGTTTCCACAATGTGGAGTCACAGAGGTACATTTCGGACTCCTTACCTCTTCCGGTTCCCAAATTAGGTCCATTTGATGTTCCTCCCTTGGATTGAGACCGTTTCACTCATGTTTGTCCTCATAGTCATGTGTAGAACCTATTAATCCATGTTTGGGTAAGTATGGGTCCATCTAGTTCATCTTATACACTACAAGTGAGTTTCCACAATGTGGAGTCACAGAGGTACATTTCGGACTCCTTACCTCTTCCGGTTCCCAAATTAGGTCCATTTGATGTTCCTCCCTTGGATTGAGACCGTTTCACTCATGTTTGTCCTCATAGTCATGTGTAGAACCTATTAATCCATGTTTGGGTAAGTATGGGTCCATCTAGTTCATCTTATACACTACAAGTGAGTTTCCACAATGTGGAGTCACAGAGGTACATTTCGGACTCCTTACCTCTTCCGGTTCCCAAATTAGGTCCATTTGATGTTCCTCCCTTGGATTGAGACCGTTTCACTCATGTTTGTCCTCATAGTCATGTGTAGAACCTATTAATCCATGTTTGGGTAAGTATGGGTCCATCTAGTTCATCTTATACACTACAAGTGAGTTTCCACAATGTGGAGTCACAGAGGTACATTTCGGACTCCTTACCTCTTCCGGTTCCCAAATTAGGTCCATTTGATGTTCCTCCCTTGGATTGAGACCGTTTCACTCATGTTTGTCCTCATAGTCATGTGTAGAACCTATTAATCCATGTTTGGGTAAGTATGGGTCCATCTAGTTCATCTTATACACTACAAGTGAGTTTCCACAATGTGGAGTCACAGAGGTACATTTCGGACTCCTTACCTCTTCCGGTTCCCAAATTAGGTCCATTTGATGTTCCTCCCTTGGATTGAGACCGTTTCACTCATGTTTGTCCTCATAGTCATGTGTAGAACTATTAATCCATGTTTGAAGTATGGGTCCATCTAGTTCATCTTATACACTACAAGTGAGTTTCCACAATGTGGAGTCACAGAGGTACATTTTCGGACTCCTTACCTCTTCCGGTTCCCAAATTAGGTCCATTTGATGTTCCTCCCTTGGATTGAGACTGGTTCAGTCATGTTTGTCCTCATAGTCATGTGTAGAACCTATTAATCAATGTTTGGATAAGTATGGGTCCATCTAGTTCATCTTATACACTACAAGTGAGTTTCCAGAATGTGCACTCACAGAGGTACATTTCGGACTACTTACCTCTTCGGTTCCCAAATTAGGTCCATTTGATGTTCCTCCCTTGGATTGAGACCGTTTCACTCATGTTTGACCTCATAGTCATGTGTAAAACCTATTAATCCATGTTTGGATAAGTATGGGTCCATCTAGTTCATCTTATACACTACAAGTGAGTTTCCACAATGTGGAGTCACAGAGGTACATTTCGGACTCCTTACCTCTTCCGGTTCACAGATTAGGTCCATTTGATGTTCCTCCCTTGGATTGAGACCGTTTTACTCATGTTTGTCCTCATAGTCATGTATAGAAGCTATTAATCCATGTTTGGGTAAGTATGGGTCCATCTAGTTCATCTTATACACTACAAGTGAGTTTCCACAATGTGGAGTCACAGAGGTACATTTCGGAATCCTTACCTCTTCCGGTTCCCAAATTAGGTCCATTTGATGTTCCTCCCTTGGATTGAGACCGTTTCACTCATGTTTGTCCTCATAGTCATGTATAGAACCTATTAATCCATGTTTGGGTTAGTATGGGTCCATCTAGTTCATCTTATACACTACAAGTGAGTTTCCACAATGTGGTGTCACAGACGTACATTTCGGACTCCTTACCTCCTCCGGTTCCCAAATTAGGTCCATTTGATGTTCCTCCCTTGGATTGAGACCGTTTCACTCATGTTTGTCCTCATAGTCATGTGTAGAAGCTATTAATCCATGTTTGGATAAGTATGAGTCCATCTAGTTATCTTATACACTACAAGTGAGTTTCCACAATGTGGAGTCACAGAGGTACATTTCGGACTCCTTACCTCTTCCGGTTCCGAAATTAGGGCCAGTTCATGTTCCTCCCTTGGATTGAGACCGTTTCACTCATGTTTGTCCTATAGTCATGTGTAGAACCTATTAATCCATATTTGGATAAGTATTTGTCCTTCTAGTTATCTTATACACTACAAGTGAGTTTCCAGAATGTGGAGTCACAGAGGTACATTTCGGACTACATACCTCTTCTGGTTCCCAAATTAGGTCCATTTGATGTTCCTCCCTTGGATTGAGACCGTTTCACTCATGTTTGTCCTCATAGTCATGTGTAGAACTTATTAAACCATGTTTGGATAAGTATGGGTCCATCTAGTTCATCTTATACACTACAAGTGAGTTTCCACAATGTTGAGTCACAGAGGTACATTTCGGACTCTTACCTCTTCCGGTTCCCAAATTAGGTCCATTTAATGTTCCTCCCTTGGATTGAGACCGTTTCACTCATGTTTGTCCTCATAGTCATGTGTAGAACCTATTATTCCATGTTTGGATAAGTATGGGTCCATCTAGTTATGTTATACACTACAAATGAGTTTCCACAATGTGGAGTCACAGAGGTACATTTCGGACTCTTACCTCTTCCGGTTCCCAAATTAGGTCGATTTGATGTTTCTCCCTTGGATTGAGACCGTTTCACTCATGTTTGTCCTCATAGTCATGTGTATAACCTATTAAACCATGTTTGGATAAGTATGGTTCCATCTAGTTCATCTTATACACTACAGGTGAGTTTCCACAATGTGGAGTCACAGAGGTACATTTCGGACTCTTACCTCTTCCGGTTCCCAAATTAGGTCCATTTGATGTTCCTCCCTTGGATTGAGACCGTTCTCACTCATGTTTGTCCTCATAGTCATGTGTAGAACCTATTAATCCATGTTTGGATAAGTATGAGTCCATCTAGTTATCTTATACACTACAAGTGAGTTTCCACAATGTGGAGTCACAGAGGTACATTTCGGACTCTTACCTCTTTCGGTTCCCAAATTAGGTCCATTTGATGTTCCTCCCTTGAATTGAGACCGTTTCACTCATGTTTGTCCTCATAGTCATGTGTAGAACCTATTAATCCATGTTTGGGTTAGTATGGGTCCATCTAGTTTATCTTATACACTACAAGTGAGTTTCCACAATGTGGAGTCATTCAGTATGATGTGAACAAAAGCAATGCAGAACTTGCTCTGGACTATGGTTTTGTTGAATCAAACCCGAACCGGAACACATATACTTTAGCAATACAGATACCAGAATCAGACCCGTTCCTTGAGGATAAGTTGGATATCGCTGAGAGTAATGAGATGGGTGAGACTGGATACTTTGACATAGTAGAGGGACAGACTCTTCCCGCTGGCATGCTTCAGTACATTCGGCTTGTGGCTCTTAGCGGTTCAGATGCGTTCTTGCTAGAATCTATCTTCAGAAACGCCATTTGGGGACATCTTGAATTGCCTGTAAGTCGTTCAAACGAGGAACTTATCTGCCGTGTTGTCAGAGATGCCTGCAAGTCTGCTTTGTCTGGTTTTACTACCACCATCGAAGAGGTATATGTATAAATGTTCAAGCTTTTGTAATTGTACCGTCTTTGCAGCTACTTAACACTCATTTCTTGCTCTGTCTTTGGTAGGATGAGAAGTTGCTGGAAGAAGGAAAACTTGATCTTAGGATGGAAATGGCTGTCAAGATAAGGATGGGTGAGAAGAAGGTGCTTCAGCAAATCGACCAAATCTTCAAGGATAGGGAGCTTGAGCTTGATGTGCTCGAGTATTACCAAGAGAGAAGGCTCAAAGATCTTGGTTTGGTTGGCGAGCAAGGCGAAATCATCTTCTGGGAATGAGAATTAGTTTTATAGCTTATCTTCTTGAATTGGTCTGTAGAGTTGAATCGACCTCGAGATAGAAGAATTGAGAGAACAACAATCTGTATGTTAGACTATTGCCAAAAGCGGTATAAGATTGATACATCATCTTCTTTTAGTTACATCTTAACTTACGTAAAACAAATAAATCAAGATCAGCAACTTTGCAGGAAAACTGAAAAAAAAAAGTTACAAACAAAAATGGAGAAACTCCAAGGAAGAAACTATGCAGCTCCCTTTCCAAGTGTTTTGCTTGCCGTACTCTTGCAGAAGCAATGAGATCATTTGCTAAGAACCTGACTTCTCAATGTGTTAAATTGGTATTCCTATGCGTAAACAGGTCGTGGCAATTTGTACCTTCACAGAGACATTCTTGAGGGTTTGCGTAGAAGTAATCTTCCTCCTTGGGTTTGTCAGAGATTACTCTTCGTTGTGTTGGCGCTCCTGTTCGTCTCTCATGGGCTGCCTTAACGGCTACTGCAAACTGATCCCACGTGAGGGTCTTGTTGAGATGCAAATCCAGTAGCCCCACGAGTCTCTTCCGGTCCAGCAGGATTGTCTTCTTAAACCCGAGATATCTGCAAACTCAACACAACATAGCAAGTTTAAGAATCGCTATTATGGTTTTCTTTTACACTACGTTGTCAATTGTCATGAAAATGAATGGATTCAATCTTATTATTACCTCCGATGACCTTCCACGACTTTTGCCATGTTTCCATCATACGTGGGAATAAAAGTGTTGCTAGCTACAGATACCATGAAATCTAGAGCAGCCATTTGAGACGAATGGTTCTGAAACTGTTGCAACTCTGCCGACTCCAATAGCATTTCCTTCTTTACCTATAACCACATGTGAGAGCGAAACTGATAAGAAAATGTGCATATACAATGAAGATACAGTTGACGACTCGTAAGGGAAACCAGGAATAGTAGACTCACAATTCTCGGGAATGCTTCCCTTAGAACGGACAGCCTATGCTCGCTCCCATAAATCTCACCAGCTGCAATGTATATCTGTGTGTTTTTCTCGAATCCCAATGCTTTTAGAACCAATGCCACCTCCTCTGGCGTCAAAGGACACAGCCCTTGCGCTCTCCTCTCTTCTGAGTTTATCTCCTTCTCTCTCCACCAGGGATATGTGTACCTAAAGAACACAGAACAGACCCATGCATTAACAACACAAACAAGACATATATACTCAAAGCACCAATTCATGACAGATTTATCGAAGGCAAACCTCATCTTTTTAAGCTCTTCTGCTTCTTCTTCACTGCAACCATGAGTGCAACCAGAGAACGCTAACATGTCCATCTCATATCTCAGATGCAAAGCCACAAATGGCCCTCTTTGTTGTAGAATGCGGACTAGCTTAGTTCCCAAAGCCTCAAGCTGCGGAGTGAACTTTAGTCCCTGGAAGTTCACTCGGCACCTGAGCCACTGGAGTGCGAGTGGAAGACCATTGTTTGCCAGGCGAGTGTCGGTCCTATTGAAATGTACAACTTTATGTTTGCTGAAAAGGGGCAATATCTGAAAAAAAAAAAAAAAAAAAAAAAATTGACAATCAGATATCAGCAAGAACAAATACACACACACACACAGCAAGAAAATGAAGAAGCTGCAGATGCCTGCTATTTGTGAGCAGAAGAGACCTGCTTCAAGTAATACTTTTCATCAGACCAGCTCACAGGAGGCATCTCGAACATTTGATATCCATGCTTCCTGCTATACCGTTTTGGAAGCCTCCTTAAGATCCTAACTTCATCTCTTAACGAATCAATGAAATGTCTAACATCAAAAATATCCTCAAAACCACTGCAAACCAAAACCAAGGATGCTTTAGATTGCTATAAAGAGCTTAGAGCATATCAGACATGAGAGATCCTATAAACACACCGAAGATATAGTACCTTGGATCAGCCCAGAAAGACGTTTTGTCAAGCTCTGGAACAACGAGAGTGAGGTTTAATAGCCGAGCAACAGTCACCATGTCACAAATCTGAAAGAACAAAGGTAATGATTTCAGAAACATCAAATTTTGTAAAAGATCGAAAGAGGCAATTGAAGCCAGTGACCAACCGCAGATCGCATTTGATTCAGTCCACCATTACATGATACAAGTAGAATACCATTGCTTGTGTAATTTCCTGAGAAAAAAACCAATAATCTCGTTTTACTCTCAAGCACCGAAGAAGACAGAAACAAATAGAACCCTAATGCCCCAAATTGAGAAACCGGGAAGAAAGAAAAAGACTTACTCGGAGGAGGAAGAGGAGGCGGCAATGGAACTGGCTCGACAGGGGCTGAAAATCTGGAAATCTGATTGGATAGACCAGTGAAGATCCGGGTATGCCAAAGCTCGCCGGCGGCGAAAAGCTGAACCAGACACGTCCAAACCAAAATGCTGGAGCATACTCTAACGAACCAAACTTGTACGCGAGGCTTCGGAACTGCCGGAGGCGGAAGCTTATCGCTTCGCGCCTGAGTAGTCTCCGATCTAACTTCCATCTACCTCCGACGATCTCGACGTCGCCGCTTCATGAGATAAATTCTCAAAACCTAAATTTCACGATCTCGTGATGTCCGATGAATCTCTTCAGAGTGCAGAGAAACAGAATTAGATGACAAACGCGAAATGAAATGCTCTCCTTGTCAAAAAAAAGTTTGAATCTCGAGGATTTTGTGTTTTTTTTATCCGAGTTAATTCGGAAATTAAAAAAATCACGAAACAGGGGAAAAATAGAGAGGTGTGGTGGTAACTGGTAACGGTGAGAGAGAAAGGAATGAGTGAATGACGACCAAATATTTAATTAATAAATAAATAAATAACCGCCAAGGTCTTCTCCCCAATAAATTCTTTCTTACATCTTGCCAAAGAAATTTTTTATTTTTATAATTTTGAAGCTTGAAATTCTACAGAGCATTTGAACAACTTTCTCTCAAATTCATTCAATAAGAAAACGACATTCATGAAAATCTGTTTTATTAGATACTATACTAATTAAAGACTTCAAGAATATTCATTCAACTAGGCAAACAAAAGCATATACAAATAGAGAAAGAAGGATGACACATTTTACCTTTTTGGTAGTCGTTGTCATTCGTCAACGGATTCACCTAATCACTCTATTTATTGCACTAATCACGATCCAAACAAAAAGTTTCAACCTCGTTTATTCAGACTTTTCTGTAATTAAGATCTGTGTATTTAAATCTTTATTAGATTAATACTGATAAAATCCCTAAAATCATATTTGTGAGAATTTGTAGGACTTAAATGTGAATAGTTGAAACAAAATCATGACAGAATCCCTCATATTTTGCATTTGATTTGCATTAACATCCCTTCCAAGGAAAGTTTCTCTCTTTTGATGCAGTAGATTTGATTTTTGACGTTACTCCATTATTGCACAAGCATCAACCAGAAAAAGAAAATTTGAATCGAGTCAGATCATCGAGTTAGAGAGCCATCATCGTTTTCAAATCATTGAGCCAGTTAACCTTCAAAATCTACATTCATAATAATTTTTTTGTTCAACTTACCATGTAAAAGGTATTAACTAGCCTTCCGGAACCCGGTGGACCTGGCAATATGTTCCATATGTTTTGGTCAACCAATTGGCTAACGATGAATAATCCGGACACAATCCCTCAAATTTTGCATTTACAAAAACACTGTGGTACAATTGTTTTCCTCAAAATTTTGCCAGTTGCAGTAACATTAAAACAATAAAATCTAAGTGAATCATTTTCTTTATTTTCTTGTAATTTTGGGGTGATGATTGCTACGAGACTTTTGAGAAGACAAAACCAAATACTGTTATTGGGCCTCAATTCAGAAGCCCAATTAAGAACCACTGCCGAAATCGGAGCCGGGAGGGAGTTAGTTAAAAACACTCGACGTGTTATAACGAATGAAACGTCTACGCGTGGCATTGCACGTGTTGACTTTCTTTCTTCGTCTCCTTCATTAGCCATGAAAGAACGAAACTTTGAAACTCGTCAGATCGATTTCTCTCTCTATCCATTATCCATATCGGAGGCGGAGCCACCATGGATCTTCACCGGAGCTCGATTGTTCTGGTGATCCTTTCCATTTTAATCCCCGCGACGCTATCTATGCGTTACGAGCTACAGTCCGGTCACACGAAATGCATCTCCGAGGAGATTCACGCCAACGCCATGTCCGTCGGCAAATACAGCATCGTAAAGCCTCACGAAGATCAACCTCTCCCTGCTTCCCACAAAATCATCGTCAGGGTAACAATAATCCACCTAAAATCTACCGATCTTATCGCATTTCCGTGGTGAATTTAAGTAATATGCAATGTGTTGGTGGTGTATAGGTCACATCGCCGCAAGGAACGGCTTATCACGAGGCGAACGGAGTGGATTCGGGGCATTTCGCGCTAACAGCGGCGGAAACAGGAGATTACATAGCTTGCTTCTCCGCCGAGTATCACGAACCGCAAACGACGCTGACCATTGACTTTGATTGGAAGACGGGTATACATACCAAGGACTGGTCTAATGTCGCTAAGAAGAGCCAAGTCGAAGTAAGTTTCCGGCTTCTTCGTTAGTCTTAACTTAGTCAAACTAAATTCATTGACCAAATCGATTTTGAGGATTCTATGAATTGAGCATTGTGCTGCATGTGTGAGAAATTGATAGCTAAGTTGAGAAATGCTCTGTAGTCTTAGATTCTAGCTTATGTTACATTGGTTTGGTTCGAAGCATGCCATGAATTTGAGTCTGCAAATTGCTATAGGTTGCAGAGGTTGTAAGGAATTGTTTTGCTAACTTTGTAATGGTTGGATCTTTTGATGTGAATTGGGCAGATGATGGAGTTTGAGGTTAAGAAGTTATTCGATACCGTTACTTCCATCCATGATGAGATGTTTTATCTACGGGACAGGTAATTTTACGAGAAAACTTTCTTCCCTTAAAAGTCGCTTGATTTGAGGAAGAGAATGACTCAAAACGTATCTTCTTCTGGTTCTGGTCTGTTGCAGGGAAGAAGAAATGCACCAACTGAACAGATCGACAAATTCCAAGATGGCATGGTTGAGTCTTGTGTCACTCGGCGTTTGTTTATCGGTGGCAGGTCTTCAGTTTTGGCACTTGAAGACTTTCTTCGAGAAGAAGAAGCTCATCTAAAGACCATTCCCATTTCTTGCGGAGAGAAATTGTATCAGATGTCCCACGGCTGTACTTGTATTGTATACAACTGAATTCATTTTGTTATTACTCGATAATGCGGGAACAGACAATTGTATACACTCTGATATGATCTTTAGCATCTCACTACGCTGCAACTTCAATCCCAATCCATGGAACAACATAAGCTTTTTATGTCACACTCTTTTAAGTCGTTTACAAATGAAACAAATGAAAGGAGAAAGAAAGATCGAAAGAAGGAAACAATCTTTACAAAAGACGAGAAACAGAGAATAATAAGCAAATGGAGTGTTACTGTATTTATGAGGTGAACAAGCCCCAATGGTGATCTGATGGTAGAGTTTCCTTAATCTTTTCAAGTCCAGAAATGATGGTCACTGGTTCATGTCCGTATCCCAGCATTTCACGATTAACCTGTAAAAAAGAAACCGGTTGGTTATATGTAGACTCTAACCGGTTCACACATGGTCTTGGGGTTTCGCTTACTCTCTTAAATCCGGTGTGCATCCTTTGGAACGGAAAGTAGGTCTGTGTCCATCTGATACATGTTTGGCTGCTTCATATGGCTCGTGGTTCGCAAATGGTGGCTCTCCTTCAAGCATCTGGATACAATGTGGTGATGAAGTTAAGGTTGATATTCTCTGAAACTCTGGTTTAGTTTATTGTAGAGATGTGAAGTTTATTTAGAGTTCAAAAAGATCTTAGTACCACGTAAAGAATCATTGCAAAGGAGAAGAAGACATCGACTTTCTTGTCGTATCTTCTATGCCTGAATACTTCAGGAGCCATATACCGGTCTGGTTTTGTTGCACGAAAACGAGAAACAGGTGAAGTGAAGTTAGAGACACGAAAGAAGAAGAGAAAAAAAAAGGCATAGTGTGGAATGGCATGCAGCATGTAGAACTCCGTCTGGTACTTTTCAAGAACGTGCTGCCCAAGTTCTCAGTCAGATTCTGAATCTAGATCTCCAAGAGGATCAACCTCCACACCAGCATGCATCCTGTCAACAAATCAAAGATTGCCAATTATTATTATGGGGATACTCCATTCCAAATAACTCATCAGAACAAATGCATAAGGACGAGTCAGTCATCGTCATACCTTGAGCATTTGAATCCCTTCTGCAAAGGTTAGCCTCAATGTTTTTGGAAGAAGATGCAAGTTTACTAGCAAGAGGGCATTGACGCCTTCAAAGGTGCAAACGGGAATTGCTTCCCGACAACTTCCAGTTCCTTTGCGCACCTCTCGTTCAGTTTTGCCACAATATCGATTATCTACACAGACAAGTTTTATCAGGCAGCATATAACAGAAATGAGATACTAACATTTTTTAACAGCACAATTTTACCTCGGAATAGTGGCTTATAGTCTCCATAGGCCAAAAAATTCATAAAGGTGTCTATGAGTGAAGGATTTTTCAGCTCTGAAAACAGGACCGATCACGAAGAGGTGCCCCAAGCCACCACATATCGCCATCTGCTTGTGAAGCTGAGGAGACTGAGCCAGACACAGCAGAACCTCCTTCACTACTCAGAACGCCTACACATTTGTTAGCTAAGTTCAGCAAAAGCAACTAAATCATCGAAGGAATGATCAGACTTACTATTAGGACAGTTCTGATAACACATACAATAGAAACTCTATAAATTAATACTCGATAAATTAATAAATTTCTCTGGTCCCGACACAATTCGATAAGATAATAAGATAATAACTTTTTTTGAAATCCTATGTAAAATATGGTCCCAATAATATCATAAATTAATAAATATTTTTATTTTTATATATATACACCTAAAATATCTAACTACTAAAATATGAATCTCTTAGACACCAAACATATATGGAAATTAAAAGCAAAAAAAAGGAATTTTAAATAATATGGTAAGTATGAGAAAATGTAAACAATGAAGTAAATATAGAAACATGTGAAAATAATTAAGAAAATATAAAATAATGATTCTTTTTTTTTTGAAAATATTTGTAGTCAAAATCTTTATATTAATAACTCTATAAATTAATAAAATATCAAAGTCCCGACATTATTAATTTATAGAGTTTCTACTGTATTTATAATGACAAATTGTAAACTAGTCTTGACGCATACGCTAATAATACATTTGAACAAACGATTTTTATTAGGTGTTAGGAAAATGTCATATTGGGAGAGTCGGGAAGAGTTTTAGCTTTTAGGGGACGGAAATGTGATAGTAGGGTGTAATTTGAGTTTTATATAAGTTAAGAACTAAATCAGAAAAAAGTAAAACAATGCAGGGGTTCTTTGTAATTAAAAATAACATTATAAACCCGACGAGGTGGTCTCTTCCCAACCCAAACAATCTTCCTCCATCGGATCATGGCATTCAATTTTCCAGCGACCGAATGGGATGAAATACCAGACCATGAGCAAGCTCCGAGTAAGTCATAGATTCTATTTTTGTTTCAATTTTCAAAAATATCGAAATTCAACCTTCGCATAATTTCTCTATTTGATTTTTCTACCTTATCGCGTAATATTAAATATAATAATTTTTCTTCTCAACAACTCAGCCTAATAAGCAACTGACACATGGTGTGTACAAACTTCGTATGTTTTCAAGCTTATTGATGGTTTTTAATATAATTAAATCAGCCTTATTTAAGAAAAGGTTTTAGAAAACACCAATAATCATGGTCTTTAACATTCCTAGTTAACTTTTTTGTTTTTGTTGCTCTTATTAACATTTTAAATATTTGTTGTTTTTCCTTCTCGTTAGTTCCATATATTAGTTTAACTATTTGCAACAATCTAATTTCCCTTTTGCTTTTATGCATATATTACCGTATAATGTTCCTGTGGCTAGTATATTGTATTAAAAAATATTATCATATCACAAAATATTCGAAATGATGGTGTGCTTTAATATAGACGAGTTATTCGCAAAAACAATGCAAGTTATAATGCAGAAAAACGATGCAAGTTATAATGCAGAAAAACGACTGACATATAATTCAAATTCAGTTGAAGTATTGTAGAGTTTCCTACAATACGTACGAACAACAAAAATATTATTCGAATAGGTTAAGAAGTTTATAAAATGTGATTAAAGTGAGAAAATGGTGAAGTGGGTGTCACGAAACGTTTGAAGAGAAGGGAAGTGGGGCTATGCTGTTTCTTGTCGGTCTCCTGCCTTACAATTTCTTCAAAAGAATCTGATTTCTTCATCTTTCCCTCCTTTACGTAACAATACATACTGAGAATATAGAAATCAAGAGTCTAATCGTTTCTTTTGGTTACGAAACGAATTATTTACGGCAGTAATACATTGTTTCAGTACTGTATATCATGTTTTTTTTTTTTTTTTTAACTTGCAGAAAATTAGATTAACTCGGAAGTCTTCTAAAAGTTCTAAAATTATTCAACTTACAGCGTGCTGAAGCTTTACTACAACAGGAAATGACAAAATAGTTTGCATATTTATTCCCTTGAAGCTAAAAAAATCCCCCCTTTCACATGTGATTTAGATCCATTGGCTGATTGAGACTTAGGGATTATTAAGTCTAGGTGAAAGAACCATGGCTGCACACAAAGGCGGACCCACATGTAAGCATACTGGTTCATTTGACACCTCTAAAGTTAGATAAAATATTGATTTGTAAGGATATTACACATTAATGCAATAGCTTGATTGGTAAAAAGCTTCATATTGACACCCCTAACATGGGCTCAAATCTCCCCAATGACACTTTTCTTGATTTTTGACCCCCCTAATATTAAATCCTAGGTCCGCCACTGGCTGCACATGGAATATCTCGTTTTGTTTTGCTTCTATGATATATTTTATCTTTGATGTCTTAGCTGCTTGCAGGTTGCATCAAGCTAAAAAATGGATTTCCCAAGGCTGCCACATAACGGAATACAGATGGATGGTGTGATGTATGGACACTTGAAGACTTTCTTCGAGAAGAAGAAGCTCATCTAAAGATACCCCACGGCTGTACTTTTTTTGTATACAACTGAATTCGTTTTGTTATTACTCGATAATGCGGGAACAGACAATTGTATACACTCTGATGTGACCTTTAACATCTCACTACGCGGCAACTTCAATCCCAATCCATGGAACAACAAAAGCTTTTTATGTCACACTCTTTTAAGTCGTTTACTGTGAAACAAATGAAAAGAGAAAGAAAGAAACAAACAAACAAACAATCTTTACAAAAGACGAGAAACAGAGAATAATAAGCAAATGGAGTGTTGCTTTCTTGTTTCTTGATTAATTTATGAAGTGAATAAGCCCCAATGGTGATCTGATGGTAGAGTTTCCTTAATCTTTTCAAGTCTCTTGAGGATGTCCAGGAAAGAGGGTCTCTGGTTCATGTCTGCATCCCAGCATTTCACGATTAACCTGTAAAAAATAAACCGGTTGGTTATATGTAGACTCAAAACCGGTTCACACATGGTCTCTGGTTTCGGGTTTGGCTTACTCTCTTAAATCCGGTGTGCATCCTTTGGAACGGAATGTAGGTCTGTGTCCATCTGATACATGTTTGGCTGCTTCATATGGCTCGTGGTTCGCAAATGGTGGCTCTCCTTCAAGCATCTGGATACAATGTGTTAATGAAGTTAAGGTTAAGATTCTCTGAAACTCTGGTTTAGTTTATTGTAAAGATATGATGATTTTTTATAGTTAAAGGTCTAAGTACCTCGTAAAGGATCATTGCAAAGGAGAAGACATCGACTTTCTTGTCGTATCTTCTATGCCTGAATACTTCAGGAGCCATATACCGGTCTGGTTTTGTTGCACGAAGAAGAGAAACAGAGGAGGTGAAGTTAGAGATACAAAAGAAGAAGAAAAAATGACACACTACGGTTTTAGATAGAACAAGACTTACAGCTTCCGGTTTCGCCAGTCATTTTGTAGACATCATGAGAGTTTTGAACCTTTATGAGCTTACTTAGCCCAAAGTCTCCAACTTTCAAGTGGTCTGCACTTGAATTCACCAGAAGAACGTTCCTGAAAATACAAAGGTATTACAAACAGCAGATGTAAAGTAAACCCAAGAAGCTAAGCTATATACGAAGCAAATTTTGATTACCTTGGTTTAAGATCTCGGTGAATGATAACATTAGGTTCATTGTGAAGATATGTCATTCCTCTGTTAGCAACAAATTATAAAACAATTAGGCCAAAAGAACTTATCACATAATTTCTCAAATGTTAAAGCTTCAGTTACCTGGCGATATCCAACGCAAAGTTGACAGCTGTGGCTGGAGTAAGACCACCCTTCTCCTTGAGGTACTGATGAAGATCTCCCTGTGAAGCAAATATATGAATCATTTAGTTGGCCATGGAGATGAAAACATGCAGAGATAAAGAAAGACGGCGGATAGTAAAAAGCATATTACCCCGCGTAAGTATTCGGTGATTAACATAAGAGGCTTTCTTTCGGTTACGGCTCCTAAGAATTGCACTATATTCGGATGCCGAAGCTTAACTAGCAAATCAACCTCATGCCTGAAGTCCTGACTGTATCACAGCAAATGTTGGAACTTAATCAAACACAAGAATCTTAGGAGAGACTCATCTGATAATAGCAAAAGAGACAGAGATGATAAGAACTTACATAACCAGTCTATCATCTGACAGAGACGGAAGAATACGTTTCACAGCTACTGGTGTTCCTCTCCAGTAAGCTTTCACAATCTCACCAAATGAGCCCTGACATCACAAAATGTGACCAACCTCCAAAATTAGCCAAAAGAAACTCACTCGAAACTATCGACATCAAGAACAAAACTTTGGCTTCAAAAGAATACACAAACCTTTCCAATCATAGCAGCATTTGAGAAATCCAGCTCAGCAGGTTCAATTTCCCAGTCACATTTCTTTGGAATTGGTGGTGGCACAGGCTTTGGCTCGAAGTGACTTCCGTTTTGACCCTGTGTAGAGAATATAGAGACTAAGAGATCCACACACACACGACCAATCGAAAATCTAAAGTGTGTTTCTGAATCTCTGAAAGTTCCTAAATTTTGCAGAAATATTATCATACTCAATATGAATTCAGTTCCCGGAAGAATGACAAATTTCTAATAAGAAGCTCTACGAGATAAGACAGAAATTCAAAAACTCACATAAGATAAACCACCATGAGATTTCAGTAGTTCGATCATTTTCATCTTCCTAGCTCCCTCTGCATCAGCCAGAGGCTTCGAAAACCCAAAACAGATCGAGGTTAAGTTAAAAATGATGATGATGCTGACAAAGTTGAGAGAACCCAAAAAAAAATCGAATCAAAAAGGAAAACTCTTTACCGTGTTCTTCCACCTATCCTGAGCGTTGACATCAGCGCCAAACTCGAGCAGGCATTTCACGACCTCGATCCATCCGTGAAGCGACGCCACGTGGAGAGGCGTTCGCTTGTCATAGTCTCTGGCGTGAACCAGAGACGGATCTTCCTCCAGGAGTTTCCGAACTGCAGTCGAGTCGTTTTGGTGCGCGTGCCAGAGAATCAGAGATGTTCTACTCACACGCGCCTTCTCCTTCTGTTTGTCGTAAGACGGTGATGGCACAGCGCTCGTTCCCGCAGCGGCTTGTTCGCCGCCGTCTCCAGCCGCCGACGGATCGGAGCTCATCTCAACCGATTCAGGTGATTTGGGAAAATGAAAGAGAGCTCCGGTGGAAAAAGGGTTTCGATTCGACCGATGGAAGGATGCGATTTCAGTGATTTTTTGTTTTCCGGATGTTTTGGATTTTGCCTGTTTGTGTGATTATAGAATCAATTGTTTACAGTGAAAGCGGAGAGGTAGATGATTATGCTTGTATCGTTTGTATTGCTTGTGTGAACGTAGATCACCCGCCGTTAACTTAGCCGTCAAGTTGATGACTTTTTCCTCCGTCTATTTTAGTGAGTTTTACGCTGTCACCGTTATCTCAAGACTTTTTCTTTTGGTCTTTGTAATTAGTGACCGACTCAAAAAGGCTACGCCAGCGTTTTCATATATGATCTCATGTTAGATTTGTTATTAGAAAGTTTCAGAATCTCATGTTAGATTTCAGCGACAGTTAGGTTTATTTAGTTTTAATATATTGTACCAACTAGTTTCAATAGAAGCAGAAAATTATTCCATTTTGTTACATTCTTAAAAAAAAAAATGAAAATGAGGAACTAGTGGGTCATACATAACTTTAGCTTTTTCTTAGTTAAGATATGTTTCAAGTAAACAAAGTTCAAGTTAAGTTTTATTACTCAACTAAGCATAGTTTTGACAATTCATCAAAAAACTATATGATATAATAATATATGTCATGGTCTTTGTGAAGGGGGTACTAAGTCAACGATCCGGATAACATGGCATCACATCTATCACATGACTGCTATAAATACACACGCATATCCCTTTAGCATCTATATTGATGTGAACAAAGAAAATCACTATTTTACGTGTTAAAAAATCATAATAGATTCTCAACTAATCAAATCATGTTTGGCCAACTATAGTCTATAGATACCTCAAATTGTTTGGCTCATACACCCACCTACTACGATTAACTTCAAAAGCGTTCGAGTAAAGTAAGAGAACATAAAAGGTAGGGAGCACACGTAAAAATAACATCTATCAATATATATACCACCATATACACATGATTAATTACAGTTTAACTTATACAAGTTTTTCAGTTAATTTGTGCAAGTATAATTAACATGACATAGTTTGTTTCACAAGTTACTTCTCGTCCCTCAAGTCCTCGAGAGAACGCTTACGGGATCCCAAGTTACGCTCCAGCGTCTGTGGCGTGGGTGGTGTTCTTCCACGGCGGAAGAGCACCGCCAGAGACCTTGTTTTCCGACAAAGATCAAAAACCTATTCAGACAACAAACAAAGCAGATCATTTCAAACGTTTCATTTAAAGAAACAAATTTCTTAAATGAGATGATATCAATTGTCGCTTAATCTTACAGATGAAGCCTCAATCTCAGCGACGCCTTCACACCCTTTTCCTCCACCTTGTAACAGATCACAGTATCGAACAGCCTCATTCACATCTTCGAAAACCTTCGACATAAAAAACATATCACGTTTATCTGAGTTTCATAAGGTATTGGGAAGTGATTCAATGAGAATGCTTACCAGTACTCCGTCTCGAATGTCTTCTACAAGCATATCGAATCTGGTTTCGGGTCTAGCCTGCTTTTTCTGGTTGATCCTTTTAGAGAACAACAGTCCAAGCTCTTTCTCTACTTCACTGTTATTCAAGCATTGTTAATCCCATGCAAGCGAGAGGAAAACTAAGCTATAAGATAAGCTCGACCGGAATGAGTTGGTGGAACCTGTGGTTTGTTCTTGTTTTCATGGTGCAGATCTGGTTTTCTCTCTGTGTCAGGACATATACAGGCTTTGAGTCTCCTCTCCATGGATTAGACTCCAACACTGAGATTGTTGAGAAGATACAGTGAGTTTGTCAACTAAATGAACCAAGCAAGATACAGAGCACTAGAGGAACAACATCAATTTTTGAACTTCGGCTTAACAAAAGACTCTCACTACATGTATCAGTGGAAAACTTCATTGGTTGTGTGTTGTATGTGACACAATGATTAAAAAGTCTGACATTGTTCAACAAAATTATTCGATTCCAGCTAACGAGAACAAAGCAACCAAGGAATTCAAACTACCCAGTAACCAAATTTCTTAGAACAACCTCATTCAACTCTGTTCAACTTCATCAACGGAAGCATCAATCAGTGAAGTGTACTCTTCATCACCAAAACATCCTCAAGAAAATTGGGCAAACGCAAAATTGAGAATGGAAACACACAAAAACGCAATAGCAACCTCATTTCACGAGCTACATAGATATGCAAATGAGTAATCGAGAAAACGAGTAGAGCTGATACCGTCATAGCTGGTGGAATCAAAAGTCTGCTCTAGTTTCCGACGCATGTCGTAAGCACGCGACGAGACTTGCCTTACAAACTCATCGGAAGTCCCAGGGATCGTACCGTCCAAGTGAAGCGCCTTTTCAACTTCCTCGCTTCCGTCTTCATCGCCGCCCACTTTATCTGATCCTCCTCCTCCGCCGCCGGTCGATTTACAGCTAACAAAGTGTCTTCTTCTCGAAATCGAAATCCGTCTCCCGGCGCTGGACAAGCCGGTAAAGGAAGAACAACGGTGGGGACGAAGACGAACCAATACTGATCGTGAAGTTGAAACAGAGATCGGAGTAGTGGTGGTTGGAGGGAGTATTATGGAAGGAGAAATAGATGCTAGCGATTCCATTGAACGAACTTACTTCCTCAGTCTGATTCACTGTTAACTCTTCCTCCAGAAATCAATCAGAGATATTAACGATTGTGTTTTCTTCAGCGTTTTTATTTTCTCGGGAAAATCAGTGTGATGAGAAATTCTCGACGTAAACGACTCAACTAGAAGAGGAAGGAAAAATCAAATAAAAACTCGTGGAAGCGAAAGGAAACAACTCTACACAATCCGCTGATATTTTTCGGTTGATGGGTCCCACAGCTGTTCATTACCATGTTAAACAAATTAATAAGCCGACAATTAATAAGGCTTGATGTTAATGATTCGAATCTCTGAATTAGAAACACGTTACACGTATATATTACAAAAAAACGTAGAAAGATTATACAAAAAGCCTTCACGTTCACAATTACATAGATGTTCAAAAGATAGATTCTACAAACTCATCTAATGAATGAGTCACTAACCAGTCGTGTTTGCTCCAGTTTCAGGAGAGGACAAGCCATTCGAAGGGGTTTCATCATCACCAATCTGTGTGTTATCTTGATCAGGGAATAGCTCGAGCCGCATAGAAGGAGCAATGTTATTAACATGAAGCCATGTTAATTCCCACAAGCTATCTCCACCAAGTGCACTTCTCTGCAAAAGCACGCCTTTCGTCTTCATCACAAGCAATATGTTCTTGAGAAGCTCAGGCACCGATTCTTGCAGCTTGTCGCTCTTCTTCCCCCTTACTTTCACTTTCATGTACTTCTCCATTCGCGTTAGAACGCCGAGCCACAGCTTGCAGAAGGTTGATAACTGAGACAGCTCTTGGAGCAGCTGAAGAAACACTTTCGAGAGAAGTTTGATCGCGAGAAGCAATGTGCCTTCCATGTTTCTATAGTCTTTCTGTGACCCTGAAGCAATCTCGAGCAAGTCGTCTAAAACCGTGAAGATCACTTTGTCGAAGCATTGAGACCACATGCTGTGAGCTAGATTGATCCCGTTTACTCCGCCCAAACACTTTTGTAATGACTGCAACGCGTGGTTTCGCACATCCTCTCTCTGGTCTAAACACACTTTTCTTAGTCCTTGAACAAGCCTTAACCACATTTCTCCAATGTCTTGTGACTTCTTCCCAAATTCTTCTTCTCCCATGTTCTCCTTCGCTGAGCGTGCCCATTTAGCCAGATATTCCAACGAATCTCCCATTAGATCGACGGCACGGATAGAGCGTTCGGATTGTCCCACGCGGGACTCAGCAAACTGTCTTGCAGCATCAACACAGAGGACGTAATTGGCTGGAAACAGGTGACTTCCTTCTGACATCACAAAGGATATGGCGTTGAATCCTGCTTCAGAAGCTTCAGGGTGCCGAGCTGTAACCGAGAGTAACGATGTGATTGTTCTCCACCCGGCCTGAGACCTGATGTGATTAGCATTAGCTTTCACAAGACGGCTGACTTCAAGAGCAATGTTCTCACAATAAGCATCGGCAACACGTGCATCCAGTTTCAGCACAAGCTGGAGAGATCTCAAAAGCTCATCAGCTAGGCTTTCTTTATAAGGAAGAAGTCTCTGGCAGATCCGAAGTAAACCAAAGATAGCTTTCTCCACTAAGTTGCAGGGCATCACCGTTGACTGAGCAATAGTAGCTATGTGTTCATAGACGCCTTGCCATAGGAGAACGATCCTGTCTCTGTTGTTAAGAGTGATTGCAATAAGCAATTCCAGGCAGAAAACTGCAGTGTCTTCATCCTCCGGAGAACTGTTTCCTTTTTGAGGCCTACCTGCAGCCCAAATGAGAGCACGCGCAAGCTGGAGCAGAGATTCAGCTTGTAGAAACTTGCTTTCAGTAAATATGCTGTCAATGTGACATTTCTGAATTGTCTGAAGTGTTCGTTGATGAGCCGCAAGCTGTTGCTCAGTAGGCTGTGATCTTGGCTCTTCTGTATCAAGAGAAAGGAGCTGACTAAACCTTCCCATCAATCCGGAAGATCTCCTTGGGGTTCCGATTGACTGCAGATGAGCTGAAGATAGCGAATTCGCGAGAGGCTTCCCTTGTCCTTGCTCAGATGAAAGTTCAGATTCCTCAGCTGCATCACTTGCCACACGAGCTGGCAGAAGTCCAAGTTTATGCAGCCGTAAGATGCAGTCCAATATGTTCCTCCAACCCGTACGGATATAATCTCCATATTTGTTTGCAATGGTAAAAATAGTGATAGTTGCCATCCTTGCTTTTGCATCATCACCAAATGCAAGAACCGGTTCATCAACAGATGACGGATTCAACAGAGTTGTGAACTTGCAGAGAGAGACAACCAGATCATCAAGCACATCTTCAAGATGATGACAAGCGGAAATTTTAGCAATAGCCAAGAATCCATCGATGCATGTCTGGTAAACATCTTCATGTTCTGCATGGTCAAAAACGACTGATATGGCAGCAATAGTTGGACCAGACATGATAGCAAACATATCGTGGTCAAGATAAGCCCTTGAATCAGCCATAATATACGGAGCGGTTTTCTTAGATTTATGCATCAAATCAATCCAGCGGCTGGGAGTCATTTCAGGAAAGCCTGAACCTTGTTCTGGAGTAGTCCGGATCTCATTGTTGCAGATGGAGTGATAAAGTTCAGACAAAAATTCTCGAGGCAAATCATTTCCTCCATTGATATGCCTATTATTGCGAATAAAATCCTCTTCTGTCATCTTTTTCTTTACTTGAACGTTGTGTTGATCAGTGTTGAGCATGATAATAGAGTATGATAGCACAAGAGCAGCATCCTTGTTAGCGAGAATCTCAGGAGACTGCATATAGTATCTCTCAGAGAACGCCTCAAGCACTCTCTGTATTTTCTGTGATTCTCCAGGCAACCTGAAAGTTTCCAAGAAGAGTCGGAGTGCAGTATCCAGATTCATGTACTGGAAATCGAAAGTCCCGGCAAACTCATTGAGAACCTGAACACAGAATTCATCATGATTCCCAAGAAAGTCCCCAACAAGGTTCTTATCAAGTCCAGCAGTATATCTGAAAAAGCAAGCTACACTTTGGGGATCAAGTTTGTCTGGCAAAAGATGTGTGCCTTGCAGAAACTCTAACCCTTTCTTTGGATCCCTGTTAAAATGATCCGCACCAATCATTAACCTTCTCTTGATATATTTTCTCCTGCGAACAAATGAAACCCAGTGATTTGGATCACTGTAATTATCACACTTAACCATCCAGAAAGGTGTGTACTCATCAAGATGGACAGGACCTAAGTCCAAACCAGTCAATCCATTACTTATCCTCTCAGCCATTCCTTGAATAACAGCAATTAGGCCATCCAGAGCAAGAATGTGCATTGCGGACAAAGGACAGTTCACAGGAAATGTGCTCTTCGATAGAAGATTGGATAGCTCCTCAAACACGTTGCTGCAAGTTATATCACAATCGAGATTGGCATACATCTCCACCATAAAATTCTTCTGCCTACAGAAGTTCACAAGAGCCTCCATGGCAACCTCTTGCTGCTGATACGAGGGCCCATATTTTCCTTGCGCAAGCCTCAGAATCACACAGGAGAAGAACGCCTCAAGCTGCAGTTTGAGTTCAGTACGTAGATGTTGATACAAATTGAGCACGATGCTGCAAACCATCGAAAGAATAAGGGGGCTCATCGACAAGCCGAACTGCATCAAGTTACGAAATAACTCATCTTGAATTAGGCTTAACAATCTTGGATGATGGCGGATGGACGATCCACCCAGTTCAATGGCTGAGTTGATCAAGTTCAACGCAAACAGAGGCAAATCTTCGTCAAATGCTATGGTGTTTGATCGGGGGCCCATCCCAGCATGTTCAACCACATTTAACAAAGAGGATAAAAAGTGAAATATTTCCACCATACTTGGAACTCCGTATGGCTCTGTCATTATATGCAAATCATATGGAGAAGCCGGCTTTCTACTTCCAGGCCCAACTGGTCCATCATCCATCAAACTCTGACCACCAGGTGCAAAAGTTGCCACAGAATTCTCAGTATCATACACGGAATTAGCATTTCCATCCTCGACTGGTTTACTCACAATGGCATATTCACCGTCATCTCCAGCTTTCTGCGACCATGTAAAACATCATTACTAATGGGAAAGAGGCATAGAAATGATGCAAATTCTTCCGTATCAAATTAGTTATTAACTAATATCGTCATATCATGTTATTATATCATCTCTGAGCATCCTACATCAAACTTGTAGCCCAAATCGACTTGTAATCAAACAGAGCGGAATTAACAAAGACCCAATACGGAAATATCATACCTCTTGATCAATGTTTCCAGCTCGGTTGACAAGTGTATTTTCTGTTCTGTCAACATCTGGGAGATGTGAGAAGATACACCTCACTAGTTCGTGCATCGTGTGGCGAGCCACACGTTGCAGCAACTCGCCTTTCATTCCTGCTTGGTGAACAACACGAAAACAAGTGTTGACGACAGTGCATACATGCTGGTTGCTTAGCATAACTGATGCTTTATTTCTCATGCATGCCAGAAGGACCTGAAGTATCTTCATCAGCACAACCTCTTCTGATGCAGGATCTGTCACCTCAAATCGGCAGCTTGTCACAGAAACAACTACCAAGTGCATGGCGTCTTCAATATTTGCAGTATTTTGATCAATTACATTCAGACTTAGGATCTTGTAAACTGACGACAACGCAATGCTGGTTATCGGTGCTCCAGTTTCATCTGACTGTATCACGTCTAGAAAGGGCTGAAGATACAACATAGGACTTATCGTATGCCAAGGCTGGCTCCATGAGAACAACTGTTTTCTAAGAGCTTTAAGTGACTGAATCAACGAGTGTTCCAGTTGATCATCACCAGACATGTATCGACCTTCCCATCTTACATTTCTTCTCATAACCGCCAAAACAGCAGCAACTTCTGTATCAATCATGCATGCTAAAGTGGTTGTATTGCTCGAATCAGTACTCTCGAAGTCCTCAGGCTCTTCCTCAATGGCCTTTATTCCAGAATGCAACTTTAGGCGACCCATCTAATCTGCTCCAATCTTCAGGCAGAGCCCAAGACACTTCGATTCTCACTATCTTCCTGGCAGAATATAAAGCGGATACAGCCAGAGCATATACCCTTCACAGGTAGAGGCCCAACTCAATCATTACTGCCAACAAAAAAAATGAATGAGATTAAAATTGCTCTATTAAACATAAAACAGATTCTTTTTAGAGAGCTAATAGGAAAGGCAGCAGTGTAATCTCAAATCATACATTCCAGAAATTAACAAAAACTACAACGCTGACTATGAATGAAGCCGCTTAGATACAGACAATATAAACCACAAGCAAAGAATCAGCAAATGATTTGAACCATGGTGATAATTTTAGTCACTTTTTTAGCATAAACTCTTTCACAGTTATGCTGCACATTACTCAAATCCCATCTAGTTTATCAGCAGCAAAGTACAATTTTAGCAAGATCAAAACTAGTTCCTACAAATCCCTAAATAGCAAAGTTTGTAACCTCCTTAGTTACATCAACAAACCTGATAACTCTATACCCATCTATAACATCACTCATTCAGATGGAATAAGCTTGAATCTATACTTCAGCTGACCAGTGAAAGTGTCATGAACCCAGAAAAAAAAATCCGAAACTATTACCAGTTCTTCAGATGAGCGAAATCCCGTCAAGGCGAGAGAATTTGGTAAAAAGGTGTAGCTAAATCACGAAGTTTGAGCAAAAAAACAGCAATGCGAACCAGCAACACGAAGAATTCGTTCGACACTTGGATGAAATCTACTTCAAAAACTGAATAACACAATGGGGGTAACTTCTAGCTTAGATTCTAGTGTTCATCACGGACTTCAATGCAGGAAAGTGATACAAAGTTACAAACAATAGTATATGAAGAAGAAGAAGTTCGAAGCAAAGATCTGCGGATTCACTTACTAACTCTCCACCGATCCAGAGATCTGTCGACGGGCTCCGACGACGAGAAACAGAAAATGCAATTGAGGAAAGCACGATCGGAAAATCTCGAGTAGCAGAGCCGTGAAAGAAAAAGAAAAAAATTAAAAAGGGATGAAATATTACGGAAACACCCCTGTATCACCAAATACTCATATTTTCAGGTAGAAGGGTCTGTAATTCAATATATTGATACTTCAGACCCTCGAATATCTTAAGCTTTTACATCTTGGCGCAATTATTTTCTAAATGGGCCTGTAACAGGCTCATTTAATTGAACGAAAAAGAGACGGGCCCGATTAACGGAGATACAAAATGTCGTAATAACCGACTTTCATTATTCAGTCTCATGCACGGCTTTTAATTTGTTTTATGGAGTATTAAAAATTGTATGTTACAGACAAGTAGACAACTGTATTACTACTGTATAGTTTTCTATGAGAAATTCAGCAGAACAGTTGAATAATTCTTTTTCTTTGATGTTGTTGAGGTGGTTGTCTTTGCTCCTCCGAATAGTGGGAGACAATACTTTTCCAGAATTTTAAAACCGAACACAAATAATTAATATGGAGTTGTCCAACATAAACTATGTAGGAACTAGTATACAATAAACTTTATTTATATCTCCACATTTATAATCATAAGATATTATGACCTCTTGCTTTGTCTGTTTAGGTATTCTTGCACTCGAAGGACATGTCTCTTTCGTGTTTAATTAGTGTCAAAGAAAATTGAACAACCAATTAATTAATAAAATATAATATGATTCATCATACGCATCCTACAAAAATATCTAAATAGATAGCTACATTCATGAGTTGTGGACGAAAATCGTTAGGTATTTGTTGTTTATCATCAAAGTGATTATATATGTAGTTATATAGCAAATGGCATAATTTTGGTGAGAAATAAAGTTCGATATAACTTAGATTTTCATGTGATTTAGATGTAAATAATATTCATACTAAGGATTTTTGTTTCAGTTGACATACATGAAATGAAAATAAGTAAATAACACTGAATATCAACAAATACTTCACTAGACATTGACGCCTAGAATTGGAGATATATACGTGTAAGGGTTTTGGAATAATATAGAGCTTGCCAGTTGGCAATGTTTCCTAAGGTCTACACACGTTCAAGTATGTGTTTGGAACGTATCTGTTTTCTTAAATTTAGATTAACTAGTATGATATATTTGGTATCCACGTAAACGCACCAGTTTCTGTATTATATATAGATTATTCAAAGTAATATATGTGAATCAAATATGTAATCGAGATGTGTTATAGTTTGCTTTTCTTCTGCTTGAGTATTATTGAGTGTTGTGTTAGGTGACTTAGGTCATAGTTAGGGATGTTCGATTTCAGTTTTACGAAAAATAGACAAAATAAAATGGAAGTCAATGCTGTATGAAGGTATGAAGTTTACTCGAGTTGTCATCAAGCTGATTTTTTTTTTCTAAAAAATCAAATTCATTAAAGTTTTTATGACGATGGATCAAGTAGGCACTTACTAGTCTATAACTCCAACTCGATAAAAGAGAAAGCAATTAAAGAAATTTAATTACGTAGACATCATGTTTCGTAAACTGTAAATCTACAACCACACTTGCAGCTGCTAAAGTCTCTTAATTGGACTTCAAAGCTTACAATTAATGTTTCATCTTCCTCTTCTCAAGCATTATTTTTTGGCAATGAGCTCCCTCAGCAAAATTTAGTTTTTAAATGCAATTAATTACTCTTGAAACCATCGCAAAGCCGATAGAAACTCTCGTCTCAGATTCAGAACATGTTTCTAGAATCTGTAGGATGGGTTTATCAGTCAGACAATCAATACGACCACCATACATATAGACATTTGGTGTAGTCGATTATACATATTGTGATGTAGTCATGTAGACCCTAGTCATAACAAATACTCTTCTCAAGTCTTGCAATTACTCCCTGTTAGGCTCTTTTACCAACCCCAAACTAGCCAAATTTTACACGAAATAGTTATATTTTTAGAATAAAAAAATGCAATTAGCATTTCAACAAGCAAAGTTATAATTCTATTGTTGTTTAAAAAACTTTTAACTCTTAGAATGAATGAAATTAAGATGATCTTCAACAGATTGTTATATTACAAAATTTATAAATTATAATTTGAAGCAAAAAGGAGCTCCAAAGTTTTGTGTGCAACAAATTAAACTAAAATTTCTGAAAAGGTTAATATTTAAAATATTTTACATTTATATAAATTTTGACAATAATTATACATGGTTTGCTTGGAAAAAGTACAGCCACAAGTTATCTTAATCTCATCTACCTAATTTTGTATTATTTGGGTGAGAAAATGGAGGCCTCACTTCCATCAAGTTTTCTTCCTACTAATTTTCTCTTCTGGTTAAAGTCTTCCTATTATTATACTCTACACTTTCTTATAATATAATCAGGGACAATAAAATAAAACAAAAAATATTGTATATATAACCAAAGTGTAGAAAAAGCATTGCCAAACATCCTGAGCTTTTGTCATGAATATAAAATCAGTGATCTAGAATACGAGCCGTCAATAATACAGTTGAAATATCTACAAGAACCCATTGTTGAGTCTTTTTCCTTCTAATAATGTCATTATCAACTTAAAAAATCATAATTCTATGTGTAAATTGGAGTGGATGCAAAAGAATATGTGCAATTGGAATTTTAAGATATTATAATAGCTTACTTTTTCGTAGTATCGGAAAGTTACATGTACGTTGATGTAACTGATTACTGAGGTAATAATAAGTAAATGAGGAAAAGAAAGATAAAAAATAAACATAAATCAAACTGGAATTGGTCTGAGTTTGGCAGTCCTAAACATAAAATGAGCGACCAACTACTTTAAATCATTTTCGTTTAAAATTCAATTCGATAAACAAAATTTGTTCCACAAACATACAGAATCAGCTAAGGTCTCTTTCGTACAACAGCTTCAACCAGAAGGGCATAAGATTAAAATAAAACAACGAAAACTATTTAACAAAACTATAAAAAAATAATGAGGAGAATATATCTCCTGAAGACTAATGTTTTCTCCAACGTTGCACGAAAACGCTAATGATTGAGCGTTTCGCGTTTCGAAACGTTTCAGAAACGAAAACGCTGTGGAAACGCGACGGAAACGCCTGAAAACGCGTTTCTTGAAATCTTGTATTTGGAAACGTGGTAGAAACGATCGATTCTAAAACGGAAACGCGACAGAAACCTCTACTCGAAATGGAATTAGAATGTTAGATAATAATCTCTGTTGCGGCCATTTCAATCAATTTTCTCAACTAATTAATTATTAAGAAAAACTCGTTTTCTTATAAGTTTTGATTCCAAATCTGATGTTATACAATAGATCTGACATATTTCGATAGAAACTCATTAGATTTAGAAGCAAACAATGATAAAATCGAAGAGCATGATGTTAGAAACGGCAGAAATTAGGTTAAAAATCGCAGAGGAAGAGGTTGAAGACGAGGGTATTCTCGTAATTTCTATATTCATTTACAAAAATGAAGAAAGGTTAAAACGCGCAGGAGCCTACTCGAACCCGTGACCTGTTTAGTTTTAATAACACTTCAAACTATTAGATTACACGATGTGGACATGATATAAGTACATATTTAATATATATATTGAGTACGTTTCCAACGCGTTTCCATCCTTATATTTTTCAAAAAAGACTTTTCCGTTTCCGAAACGTTTCGCTTCCACGTTTCCGTTTCCGTATCCATGCAACACAGGTTTTCTCCTATGAAAAGGACTTTAAACTAACTCCAATAGGCTTTTATTTACTTTTTAGCTCATTTTCTTTTATAAGTCACCTTAATGATTGATATATAAAGCAAAATGCATTAGCCATTTAATCAATTAACTGTGGCGCGATTAAAATTTGTGTACTAGGTCGATTGACCACATAACAAATGCAGGTTCTACATTAAGCATATGATCCTCGGAACTAAACTCATTGTAAGCTTTTAAACACTAAATCCGATGAACTTGAAAACATTTGATTTCCTTTACCATACTAAAAGCGTTCTTGCATCAAAATAATCAGATTTTATAAAAACTAAAGAAAACAAGTTTGTATGGAAGATGGGGAAAAAGATTAGTAAATGGATGTGGGAGTATTAAAGAGGTTAAGAAGTTTTTCCATAAATGGCGACACGTGCTGTAAAATAACTCATATCTTCTGTAATTAAAACGTTGCTTCTTACCTGCGAAGTTCATGGGTCAATCCCAATACAAGATTACTTTCTCTTCTGTAATAATTTATCATTAAAATGAAGGAAAACTAAAAAAGCAGAGAGAGAGAGAAGGAGATTTAAACGGGGAAGAAGACTTGAGAGGGATCCGAAGAAAACGGGTTACTTGAGAAACAGTGTTGCGGTTCTCATTTTTCTCTTAAAATCTCTCATTTTCTTTTAGTTTTACTTTTTATTGACACGAAAAGACAGAGAGAACACAAGAGTCGAGAGAGGCAGAGAAGAGAAAAAGACGAACAGAGGATTTTCAACGATCCTCTTCTTCCTCTGTTCTTCGCCACCTTCCTCTGTTCTTCTCCTGGTTAGTTTCCTTCTTTTCATACAAGAAATTGTCTAGCCTTAAACTCTTATTTCAAGAATCTTCACATTTGCAACAAAAAAAACACTTATTTCAAGAAATGATTTGAGATTTTATTGATCTCCGAAAACAACATTTTCTTATCTTTCACGTTTAAAAATTCAAATGCTGCATTTTTGGGGTTTGGTGTTGGTTTAAGTTATCGATGTTTGTTAATTACAAGATAAAACAAATAAAACAAAAATTAAGACCAACTAAGCTACAAAATTAAGAAAGAAAAGAAAAAAAAACTATCTGATAATCGATTTTTTTTTTTTTAAAAATCTTATTGAAGGTCTTGAAGATACATGAATCAACATCCCATTGTAATGAATGTTGATGCATTCTCTGACGTAAACATGAACTCTTACAGGTGACCTCTCTGAAAGATTAGAAAAGGGTAAAAGATTCACTCTTTTTCATATGATTTTAATTTCATACAAGATCATATATACTTGGTGTGGAGGTCTTATTTAATTTTCTTATTATGTGTTCTTGATTGTTTCAATAGGTTCCTTAGCTGGTGAATGTACGTAGTAGAAAAATGGGTGGCTGTGTTTCTTCCCAGAGAAAAATCAGCAACAAGCTTCAACAGAAGAAGCAAAAATATGGAAAATCTGGCAAATGTCGGTCCAAAATATCGGCTTCTATGCCTGATGTTCCTATGAAACGCATGAGCAATGCGAGTGTTAGGGACTTTGCGATGAGCGAATATGTTCATCTTGATTTCGAAAAAGGCGCAGCCAAGATGATGTGCAAGAGAGCTGAGATGTCTAATTCCAACTTCCATGTAACTCAGCTTCAATGGAACTGCAGCCAAATTGATGGACACCGTAAGTAAACATTCTCAAGATCTTGAATTCTGAAAATGTGTTTTCTTGAATCAGATTAGTAATCTTTTTTATTTTACAGGAATGTCACATGAGGAAGCTTGGTATGATTCCTTTAGTTACATTGACTCTGACTCTGATGATGGATCAAACAGTAGTGTTTTCGAAGGTAAAAACATTTTTCACTCTCTAGACATTAGTTTGTGAATTATGTAATAATTTGTTATCTGAAAAAGCATGCATGATGTTTCTTGCAGATGCAAATGCTTCTGGCATGGGACGGGTGATTCAGTACGAAGAGTTCTACGAGAGTTACCTGAAAATAGATGGAAACAAAGCTGAGACATATTCAAGCAAGAACGAAGTCAGCATAAAGAGAAACCAAGTCGCTGATGAATCTCAGTCTCACCATGAAACCATCAAGACTACTACTTGTGAAGACCATCAAGATCACAGGAAGACATCCTCCAAAGTTGTTATGGTCTCTATGCGAAGAACATCCATTGATAGAAAATCAACATCTGAATTCCGTAAGCAAGGATCAAAGTCTTTAAAAGTTTTTTTGAAACTTCTTGAACTTTTCTTCTGATGATTAGTGTCTTTAAAATGTGTAACAGCTTCAGGTGAGAAGATCTTGTACCGACCAAAAGCCGGTTCTGTGATTCAACGTTCTTTAGGAGAGAAGCTGACAAATCAAGGAAGCTGGTCAGAACTTTGTCCATCTAGTTTCAAGCTCCGTGGATTGAATTTCTTCAGGTTAGGACTTAGGATGATCAAGAAAGTAGACTCAAAGTTTTTGAAATCATAAATCTAATTGTGATGTTTATATCATTTGCAGAGACAAACAAAAGAATCCTGCACCAAAATGCATTCCTTACATACCAATAGGAGTCGATCTTTTCGCGTGTCCTAAGAAGATAAACCACATTGCTCAGCACATTGAGCTTCCCAATATGAAACCAGCATCATCACAAGCCTGTGATATCCCAAATCTCTTGATTGTGAACATCCAGCTTCCAATGTATCCAACCTCCATGTTTGGTGACTATGATGGTGAAGGACTTAGCTTAGTCTTGTACTTCAAACTCAACGAGAACTATCACAAAGAAACCTCATCTCACTTTCAAGAAACCATCAAGGTATGATGATAATGATGATGTGTCCAACCTTTTTGTATATGTTTCTGTAAAGAAAGATTTTTAAAGGTTTGGTTTGTTTTGCAGAGATTTATAGATGATGAGATGGAGAAAGTGAAAGGATTCACAAGAGAGTCAACAGTTCCATTCAGAGAGAGGTTGAAGATTATGGCAGGTTTAGTGAATCCTGAGGATCTTCAGCTAAGCTCTACTGAGAGAAAACTTATCTCAGCTTACAACGATAAACCTGTTCTTTCTCGTCCGCAACACAATTTCTTTCAGGTCAGAATTACAGATCTTTCTTCTTTAGCTTTCATTTCATTTCCAGAGTTTTTGTTGTGCTGATGTTATTAATGTGTGTGTTGATCATTTTGGACAGGGACCAAACTACTTTGAGATCGATTTGGATATACATAGGTTCAGTTACATATCGAGGAAAGGACTCGAGTCTTTCAGGGATAGGATCAAGAATGGGGTTCTTGATCTTGGTTTAACCATTCAGGTACTTGAAATTTGAAAAATCTCCCTAAAACATTTTGGTTTGTATTGTAGGGTTCTTTGTTTTGTTGGAGTGTTGCTCAAGAAAACTTTTTTTGTACTTTTTCTGTCACAGGCTCAATCACCAGAGGAACTTCCAGAGCAAGTACTGTGTTGTGTCAGGCTGAACAAGATTGATTTCGTGAATCACGGACAGATTCCAACGCTTTTAACTAACAAACAATGACTGAGTTTCTTGATCTGATTCACTACCAGAGAAAGGATCAAACCAATCAATCAATGTGGGAGCAAAGAGACAAAATCAAAACAGAGAACCTTTTCACATATTTGTATTGAAGAGACAAAAGAAAAAAGATCAAAAATAATCATTGTCTTTTTGGAAACCATAGAAACAAGATTTGCTCCTCCGGAATTTATTAACCTCATGAAACAAATACTCATTTGTACAGATGCCATCAATTCTTACTAAAAACAACAGTTGCTATGTAAAGTTTATTAATAAGCAATAACAGAGAAACGAACAAAAGCAAGCAGATTTGGGTCAATTATCAAATATACTTAATAACAAACATACAAAAAATGAAAAACACAGTGATGTTACAACAGATAATTTCATCCACAAAATGTAAAACCTATTTCTCAGAAACAATAACACAAAGTGACAACACAAAACACCCACCCCCTGTAATTTTCATCCTCATGTACAAAAGAATTCACATAAGACAACAGAATTATGAAAAAAAACCCTAAAAATCTTTTTAAGTTTTACAACAGAACAACCCCTTCCTATAGACTGCAAGATTTCTCTGACAAGAGTATAAATTGTATATTAGAAACCTGTTCAACTTCAACCACAAGATTCCATCAAAGCTGAAACCTTTTATCAAATTGTTTGCTCTTCTTTCAGCCTTAGACGCGCAACAGGCTGCTGCTGCTGCTGGTTTAAGTTAGCCAAACCGCCATGTCGATTCTCTGGCCTTAACTGTGCCGCTGCAGCTGCTGCATGGCTGCTTGACTTAGCTGCTGGAAGGTCATGGTTATGTTTGCCTTCATATGTTGTCACCACAGCTTTTGGATCCGTTGCTGCTCTCTCTACATGTTTCCTCACTCCACATCCCTGTGTTGTGCACTTGTAGTAACTCCTGTAGACCAGAAACAGAACATTAACCAGAATGTCTTGAGAAAACTGTGAAATAGCTTGAATCATTCTCGTGTATTACCTCGGATAAGGATTCCCTTTGACAACTTTCTGTCCATATTTGCGCCACCTATATCCGTCATCTAAAAGATCAACTTCACTTGTCGTTTGGACAATGATTCTTGGCTCTGTCACAGTTCTATGTGAAGCAGCAGCAGCAGCTGGTTCCGTAACACGAACTTCTGTACTTCTGCAAATTCAAATATCTCTCTCTCAATCAAAAACCGAAAATAAAGGAAATGGATCATCATCAGTCATCTTCAAAGGTTAAAACTTTACCTTCTCTTGGGATCACGCTCGTCTTCAACTTTCTCTCTCACACCAGCTTCTCCATTACCGACTTCTTCGCTGTCACTTGCCTCAGACATTTGCTCTGTTGTTGTAGCTTGGCTTGCCGCTTCATGCTGTTCCCTCTTAGTCTTGTTGAAGCTACTGTTCTGAAACTGTTGTGATGCCGCCGCCATTTCAGAGCTCCCGCGGTTGTTGTTATGAATCGAACTCCCGTTTAGGTTCGCGGCGCTGTCTTTGTTTCCACGCTTAGTGTTCTGAGGAGGTTCGTGGTTGTGCTGACCTTTGTAGATGATTTCAGTGACTTGTCCATCAAGAGATCTCTCAACTTTCTTCTTGACAGGACATCCCGGATTCGTGCACTTGTAATAGCTTCTTGGATACTCGCTGCCTTTAACTTGCTTTTGCCCATACTTTCGCCAGTTGTAACCATCATCAGCTGGTTTGTCAACGTTTAGTGGCTGTTGTTGTGACCTGTGCTCAATGATGGTTATCTCTGAGGTTTCTCTTTGACTTTGAGATAGATCCGGAGCAGCTGAGGTAGGGATCTGAGGTTGAACAGAGGAAGGAGGGTACTCAGTTTGTGGTTGCATAATGGCATTGGCTTGGACTGCTTGTGCTGTGACCTGTGCTAGAGCTTGCTGATGTGTCATTCCGTATTGTCCCTGCAACATTGTTAAAATTTCAGGTTAGAACAAGAAAACAAATCCTAACACACATTTGAACATGTTGACATATTCATGGTCAGAGACACAAAACAGAGTAATCATTGTTCAAGAATCAAACATATTAGCTCATAAGAACAAGAATTTCGGATGTTTCTATATAAACCTTGAGCAAGCCCAAATCTTGATTGAGTAATTGATCCAACAACCAAAAGCACCTTTCCTTGTCTCTTTGATAATATTCTTTCTCTCAAATTTTGTACCTTTGCAAAGTTCCTACCTTTAGGATTTCTCCCCAAATCTCTAGTAAGCCCTAAATCAATTCTAATCTGAATTCTCCAATTTTGACCTAGAAATGAAGAAGAAGAATGTTTTCTTCCAGCCAAATGGTTACAAGTCTATGGTTTGTTTGGGTTTTTTTGCTAACAGAAACGTTTTTTTTCCTCAGCAGCCAACCAAGCAAAAACAAGAAAACAGCTCAACAAAAACGCTCAGTTTCCAAAAATAGAACTTTAAAACTTTTGTCAGAACGAAAAAAAAAAAGACATTTTGATGAATCTTAAACCTGAACGGGAGAGAAAAGACCCAAGAAGCTTGGCGAATCCAACAGCATCGCCGGGCTTAGCCCCGGAGGTACGGTGAACATCGACGGTGACTGTGAAATCATCAAACCGGTGGGTCTATTCTGCTTGAATCTCGGGTCAACATCACCACTCGAGCTGTTATTATTCCCTTCACTAGCCGACGCTGCTGCGGCGGCGGCAGATGCAGCTGCAGACGCCGGAGAAGCCATGGCTCCGGCGAGGAGCTGAGAGAAAGACCTGAACTCATCGGAATCGGGGAACATATTGGAGACCAGAGTCATCGGACCGGGGCTGAATCCAACGCCACCGTTAAAGAACATCTCACTAAACGGCCGTGGCGGAAGAGATAAAGTTGGTCGTGTCGGAGCTCCGGTGGACTTGGATGTCGACGGAAGCTCTTCCTTTTCCGACATCGATCCCCAAAAAATTTAGAAACAAAAAAGGGAAGAAAATGGACCAAAACAAATAAAGAAACTTTTTTTTTTCTTCTCTATCTAAAAATCTTTTTGTATCTGTCTGTGTGAATCGTGTCGTGTTTCGCCTCACTTTTTTGCCGTTTTTTTATAATTAGTCTTTTAACGCAGATTTCGAGTTTTTGCTTTTCTCTTGTAAAAACGGATCTGAAAACATAATAAACAGATGAAAAACTTTCGGGTTCTCTCGCAGTATAAAAGTCCACGCTGCAGATATGTAAAAGAATCTCTCTCTCTCTCTCTCTCTCTCTCTCTCTCTCTCTTCCATTTTCTTTTCTTTTTTTGTATAATTTTAAAAAACTTGTAGTATTATTTTAAAATCCTTAAAAGTATTTTCCTCTTCCGAGAATGCAATGATAAATGACTTACAATTTTTTGTTTTACTACACTTCTACACATTTTAAAATTTAAATGATTAAATCAAATTACTATTATAAACTTTCAGTAAAACTTTATCAAAAAAAAAACTTTCAGTAAAACAGAATCTAAATTACTATTTTGAAATCTTCGAACTATAACATTTCGAAAATAATAAAAAAGAAAATGAAGTATTAGCCAAAATCGAAACGAAAATTTTGTACTAAATTGATATGTTAAAGTTCGATTTCAGTTTAGGTTTCACCTTTACAAAAGCGTCGGTCTTTGTACGATGAACCTGGAGCGAAGATGGCAGGGACAAGGCCACAGCTACTCCACGTTGTACGAATCACAAAATGACAGGTGACATTCCGTTTCTAAGCCCAAATTATATCTTAATGGGCTGTCGATAACAAAAGTCTAATCACATGATTCGTCTGAGATAAGTAATATGCAAATGTTTACATGATTCGTTAATACCACATGATGAACTGTATAAAATTCATGTTTACATGTTATTTCTGGTTTTTTTTTCTTCATGAGACTGCAAATGTTTTTAATCATTTTGTTTTAGTTGACCTTTCGGGTGTATGTATGTAATAGGAGGAAACGTGAGGTGAGGGAAATTGAAAGCAAAAAACAAGCAGCAACACGACTTTTGAAGAGAGATTTGACTTTGGAGGAACAAGATATAATATTTTAACATTCTTATGAATAATTATGTGGGACACACGTAGACTGTAGCGGTGTAATCCTTTCATTCATTGCCACAATAAATGTGATTGCTACAATATTTATGTCATTTTGATGATACACTCCACTCCATAGAAACATACGAATAAGAAAATATAAACATACAATTTCGAATTCCGTTGCTACAAAAATCACTGGGTCATGAACTCATGATTGTCCGGTTATGTATCCTATATTTGTAGTACATACATTAGTACGTCAACACCAGAAAGTTCTGATTTTTTGGTTCACAGTTCCTCTTTGAAATGTGATAAATGCTTTTTTTTTATTTCTGTCGACAGCAAGATAAATTATTGTCCAACGAAATAGTACAAAAACTTTTTATAGATTTTCCCAGTCTTCCAAACACCAATTTTAGCAAAAACTTTAATATTTCTGTTCATATCATGTTACGGCTAAAACCAAAACAATCTCATCCAACATCGGTTGAATCAGTTAGTAGCAGTTGGCCCCAAAAAAAGAAAACAAAAAGTAACATACCTTCAACTGACTGAGTTTTGGTCGCATGTCTACAATTACTCTGTTTTGATTCGTAAAGTTCTTCAATTTCTAATTTTGTATTCCTTCTACGTTTCTTACCTATGCGCACGAGGAAAGACTTGGCGCATAAAGGCAAGAAACATCATGGGTCGGAGAGGTTGACATTTGGGCAGCCAAAAGTTCAACACAATTAGGAAGAGAAAAGATGAAGACAACGAGACATTAATAACAAAAGATTATAAAATTTCCAAAGTAGAGTAACCAAAACACAAGAGAATCTCCGATGATGAAAACACGCCTAGAGACTTAATACGAAGAGAAGAAGCCCTTTACAATAAAGGGAAGAAAGATACAGAAACAGAGGAGTCACACAAATTATAACTAAAAGGTTCATAAAACAGTGACCTCCCCTACAAACCCCATTGTTGATACACAAACACGATAGGTTTTGTGGTTTCTCACTTGGGACCACTAATGTCCTTGAGAGCATTGATCTGTTCCTCTCCCATGGCTGACATCACACTCACCACTAGATCCTTCCCATCCTCAAACCCACTCTTGATCTGTTGGAGCAGAGCTTCATCAGTAGGGAGCTTGAGGTCATCCTTGGTGCTACCATTGTCAGTCAACAAGCTCACCTGAAAGATAACAACAACACAAAGCTATTAAACACTCTAAGATGCAAAGACTATAAAAAGGCCAAAAGGGATTATTAAGATTCAATCACACATACATATCCATCTTCAGAAATGTCAATCAGCTGATAATCCGTACGGTTGACATGAGGAACCTGAAACACCAATTTCATCAAAAAAAAGTTCTTAAAAATGTCAAATTTGGGGATTCCAAAAACAAATGACACTTACATCACAATTGTGAGAAGAAGGAACAATATCTTCAAGCTTCTTGCTGGTGAAAATGTCAATAGCAACAAAGTGACATTTCGCATGACCATGCTTCCCAGTCTTTGAGGTTGAGACCTCAACAACCTGCAACCACAATCACTAATTATATCTTTCCATCGAGCTTCTCTTTGTTAGATCACAAATTACCATCGCATGCAACAAATCCCAGCGCTTGTGTTAAATCATGCAGATCAATTCAATCTTCTGAAATCGTTCTAGTCAAAACCAATTCACTATACAGCTTATCGTGCAATTTGCGATGAGAAAGGATCCTAAATCTGATCTAATCGAATACTGAAAATACTGATAAAAAAAACGAAGGTGCAACAAAATGGAGATTTAAGAGTGATCGCAAGCCAAAACCCAGTCGAATCACCATGGAAATACGAAAACACGAGCAGAGGGATAAGAAAAATCGATAGATCTAAGATCGGAGGAAGGAAATGACCTTGCAGGGACGACCCTTGATAACGATGTAACCGCTCTTACGGATGGTTCCAGCTTGTTGCGGGTAGGTTTTGGAAGCTCCGGCGTCGCTTGACTCGAAATGATGCTCGTCGTCCGACATGGTTGCAGCGAAATGGATGAGGGAGCTTCGACTACGAAGACGATCGAAAACCTTTTTTGTTTTGACAGATCCAAGATGGTGACAGCGACGACCGAAAAAGCGTAAGTGGCGTTTTCTTATGGGCCTTTCTAGGGTTTTTCATTTTCATTTTGTTCTATTAGAGATTGAGATGGGCTTAAAACTATATAATTTGTATTTTGTTAGTCCAATAATAATCTCTTTCAATTGTGATTTTTAGTCTGGGTTTTCGTGAAAATTTGTATCAAATGCGCAAAATCCATTTTGATTGACTCGCGTTTGGTTTTCTCTTATTTGTTTAGCCTATAATTCGTCGTTAATAGGGCTTTTTTTTATAAGGATTGTTACAGATCTCGATTAGCTATAGATTTTATTGGAATCTACTTTTTCAGGCTACAATACGACAATTAATAAGTGTTTAATTCATTGCTTTGTGTGGACAGGTGTGGTTTGTCTACGTTCTTGATGCTTTTCAAAAACTGATGGAAACTTTTCGAAAGAGGCTATCTTTATGTAACAAATAATTTTTTTTTAACTAGCATTTGTAAAAATATTTCAGATTAAAAAACGGACGTTAAAGACAGCAAGGGATTTTTAAATAGTTATTTTTTTGTAAAAGGGGATGGACGGGAGATAGTGGGAGACGAGTGGCAAATAATTTACTTTTGCCAATACCATTTCTATTTTGTTTAAACATAAAAGTGATCAAAAAATATTTCCGTTGATAATATGCATAATGAGTTAATGACTAACGATAGAGTAACATATAATTTTACACTAGTTTTCAACCACCATATTTCTGTAGAATTTTGATTTATAATTTCTTTATTATCTTAAAAATATCTTTTCTTTAAAATTAAAAGAAATGTTTGATTCAGCCAATGTTATCAATTACATTAAATCTTTAATTGTTTAATCTAATAAGAATTATAATTTTGTTGTGATATTTATGTTCGATAGAATATTGAAAGATAAATGACAGTTGCATACTTGCATGTGAATATGTATATTTATGGAATTCTTTTTTTTTTTCTCTTTGATTCTCAACGAAATCAATTTGGTGGGCCATACCATAGGAACTATGATAGGACCCTTGACTAATACCCAGTTAATAAATCTTAATTTTTTTTTCTGGTGAGAGTGACATTTCCGAAAGTATACTTTGGACCACTTTTAAGGTCTATTCCCAACTTATCTTGAACCCATTAAAAGCATTATAACTATTGATATATGTACATATCTTATAATAACTCAGTCCCTTCGATCTATTATTTAAGTCTACGAGTTATGTTTCATCAATTTTGTTTAGTCTAGTGACTTTGTATAATTGTAAATAAATTATTACACGAAGATGATGTATCATCGCAACGAAGTGTAAATTCAATATTCTGCTATTTTTATTTTTCTCCCCCATAATTATCCAGTTCTGCGTATAAAAGATGTCCTTAAAACTCAGTAGAAAAGTTGTACGGATATTTTGCGGTAAAAGTAGTTAAGACATATAGATCTACACATTTCTACTGCATTTAGTGTTATTATTTGATTTGAGAAATTAAAATAAGACAGGGTCATCAATTTTCCGATGTTACCTAACAATACAAATACGGAATTAACCATGTGAGTTTATGACATAAGAGACAAAACAAAATGATGCCATGCCACACAACAAGCCGAAGAGCGTAGGTTATTTTTTTTGACCGAATACCGAAACTATTCAAACGATATATATTTTTTTTAAAAAGCTGTGTTAGATAAGAAAAATTATAAATGGATTTTTAACTTTCGTGCATTTTATTTACGGGAGTTCAGTTTTTTCTTAAAGAGTTTTGGCCACGTCGATCGAAAAAAATGTAATCGTTTTGTTATTCCTTTTGGGGCCAAATTTCGCATTATTATTTTCAAAAACTGCTAATAGAATTCGAACACGGTTTTAGTACCAAAACATCTTTAAAACTTAAATCCACAGGATAAAAAAAGAGTATTTGATTGCTTACTCTAAAACATTCATTTTGATAGGTTTTGGGCATTCAGTGCGGTCCAACAGACACTGGACGTAACAGTATTACCTTAGTAGGCATTGTTTAAATAAAAAAACAAATAATATTACCTTTGTATATTCATGGTTCTGTTTGCCTAAACAAATACTCCTCTTTTAAAAATTTGGAAAGAAATTAAGTCATTGTTCCCTTACAATCGTTTATTTATAAATTGAGAGCTATTATGGCTCATGGATTCCATCAGTATCCATACTCCCCTTTAGAAATGATTTTCTGATAATCAAAAATCAAGATTTGATCACCAATCCACAATTTTATAGGAGTCTGATAAACTTCTAACTCCTCGGAATAAAAATGTAAAAATGATTCCATAGTAGCCAACGAGATCATAGAGCTACAGAAGAAAAAGAAGATTTTTAGGCGGGACCCACGCTCTGTTTGCTGTCACTAGTTTATTAATTAAAGCTTTCTTCAGATTTTATGTTTTTGAAATATTGACGCCTAAACAGAAAAATGTGTTAAACGAAGGATGCGTAATTAATGGGCCAAGGATTTACGGTAATTGTTTTGTTCCTTGTGACGACATGTTCGTTTTGAATTTCCAGTTTTTGTTTCTCTCTTCATTATTTGTTTTATCCTTATTATTAATGATACCATCCATTAGTCGTCGTAATAAATTTGTTCTCTAGTAATTCTAAATTTGTTCTCTAGTAATTCTAAAATTACATACAGTAGATACAAGTCTCTTTACAGCATTGCAAAGAAAGACAGAGAGAACCTAGAAGATTCCCACTTCACATTTTAGCATTAAATGTAAGTTTAAAATTATAAATTAAATATGTACAAGGATTAAAATGATAAAAAATTGAGAACATGTAATTTACATAAACCGTTTTCAGAAATGGAAGAAATTTACGCATTCAATAGAATCTAATTAAAAAAAAATCAATTGTCCCATTAGTTAAAGAGTTTTACGAGTCAAAATTTTCACCCTGTGCCTTTTATTTATTTATTTATTTTAAATGTATTGGTTATTGGCTATTAGTATTACATTAGTAATCAAGGAGAGGAACAAAAAAAAAAACTAAAAAAGGTGAAGAAAAAGCAGAGAATAAAAGGAAGAGAAGACCGGATGTTGACAAATAATTTCATGTCACTGTTGATACAAGGGTCGTTTGTGTATGTGATTTTGGGATCTTTCTTTTTCTCTCTATAAACAAACTTCTTTTTATCGCTCACAAAAAAAGAAGCAGAAGCAGAAGAAGAATAAAGGAGATTTCTTTTCTTCTCCGGAATTTTTTTTTTGTTTGGTGAGAGAGAGGAGAGTGGCCCAGTAGATCGAAGATGACGATCTAATTTTTTCCATTAATGGTGTTTACGCTATAACTATTATACCCATACTTTACATTTTTTTTTGTTTCAATCCTCCCCAGAGTTGAGATTCCAATTTTTTTCTTATTTTGCCTTTGATTCACAGATTTTTTTCTATAATTTTACTTCGTTGAAACTTGTAAAATCTTCATTATTCTTTTTTTGTGTCTTCTGAAGAGAGTACCGAGGAGAGTTGGCGATAAGAGGATGTGGGTTTGAGGTAAAAACCCCATTTTTATTTTGTTCTAAACTCTGAAAATTGGATTTTTATTTGTATTTTTGTTGGATGATTTGGGGATTTCAATTTAAAATCTGCTTAATTTCATCTAGATTAATGCATTTCTTCTGTCAATTTTGGTACAATCTTGTCCTAATAGTTTGCAGATTCTTTGTAATCTAAAACTTTAGATTTCGACTTGATTAATATTTTTCTTCATCTCCGAGATCCTATTTTGACTCGTCTGCGTTAGAGCTCAAGACGACCTTTAGTTATCACCGAGTCAAAACCCTTATTTATAGTGTGTGAAAATTCTCCTCATCATTTTCCAATTCCAAGTATATGTTTGACTTTTGAGGAACTGTTAAAGCTAATTCAGAAATGGGGGTTTATAGTGATGGAACCAAATTTAGCTCATGAAGTTCCATAAGTTTTTGTTAGAAAATGTGGTTAACTCTTGATGTGTGATTTAGGATTTGAGTGCCAATTTCAATGCCTTTGAATCAGATTTGTCTGGTGAAGGCTAAAGTTTGGGTTTTTGTGTGAGCAGGAATGGGAACAAAGGTTCACTGTGAAAGCTTAATTGGTGGATATCATCACTCTATGAGAGATCTCAACAAAGATTGTAGATGGCCATTGTTGTATAGTGACAATAAAACCTCGGCGAATGATCAATCCTACAATGGCTTCCCGTCACAGACTACATTTGACTGTGACAAAGATGTGGTGAGAAGGACAATGCTCGAGCACGAAGCTGTTTTTAAGACTCAGGTTAGCTAGTGAAGGATCTTTCTCTGTGATCTTAATATCTGTTCTCTGGCTTTGTCAGCTTTTTGGTTGATTATGGATCTTTTAAATCTTTAACCAGGTTTTGGAACTTCACCGGGTGTACAGGATACAGAAGGATATGATGGATGATCTCAAAATGAAACAGCTGAACAAAGAATGGGGTCCGAATCCGATTGAGGCATCGTTTACGTCTCAAGCTGCTACGAATGATGATTTCCGTAGATGGAAAGTCCCTAGTTTCCCTTTGGCAAACTCGGTTTACGATAGACCGTCCATGTCGGTGGTTGAGGATAATGGACATTCTCCTATGAAAAGAAGCAACTCTCAAGGGCTTGGTGGTGGTCAGATTCAGTGGCAGAATGGAGCCAGTTCCAAGAATGTTGAAATGTCTGCGGAGGTTAGACCGAATAAAATCAGGAAGAAGATGATAGATCTCTGTCTTCCAGCTGATGAGTATATTGATGAGAATGAAGATGTTGTAGAGTTGAGAGATCACAGGGCTTGTGGCACTTCGAGTCAGCTTCCTAATGGAGATGTGAAGACAGAGCCTCGAGGAGATGGTCTGAGAATTGGGTATGGTTTGAGTGGTAGAAGCAATGGCTTGGCTG